AAAGATCGGCCTGCAGCAGCAGCAGCAGCAGTAGCAGATTTGACCTGTGTCGCCTCCATCGCTTGTGGTGCTGCTGACAGCAGCCAACCGGCTCTGACAGCAGTCGACATCCTACAGTTTAATGTGTGCTGGCTGCCCTTGCTCCAGAGCATTCTCGTGTGCTGCTGTGCTGGTTGTCTCGTGTGTTTTCTACGTGCGTCATGTGCTGCTACTGCTGTGCTACGACTTCCAGGGGATCCCCGCTCGGCGGCGTGGCCATCGCCCAAGCATCTGTCTCTGTCCTACATAATGTCCTACATAGTCGACAGTGATTGGTGGGAGGACGGCATCAACCCGGCTCTACCCCTCTACCCCACGTACGGGTTGTTGTTGTTGTTGTCTTCACATTTAAAACCGTTCCGATCTCTCTCTACCCAGTACCTTCGTATGTCCGTGCTAGGTGCTCTGCCGTGATCGGTGGGAGGACGGGTATCTACCCGGTTCTACCCTCCTCTAAAACATCGATGTTATATTTTTAGTTCTTCCGGTTCAACATTAAAATTGCCCTTGCGTGTGGGCCCGGTTCCACCTGTACGTACCGCCGAAAGAACACCGAAAGTTGAACACAGACAGACGAGTTATTCTCAACGGGTTCAGTACAAAAGTATTTTTTTTTAAGACGCCCAGACGAACGGGATCCCAAAACAAGGAGTACATGCTGTGCGCGGTGGAGGTGGGTCAGCCGATGATACTATTGTGCGGTTGCTAGTGACGGGGTGTTTTTCCTTCCCGATTATGTGCGGTTCATTTGAAAGGCAGCAGCAGAGTACGGCAGTAAGGGGGTGCCTGTCTCACTCAGTAGTGCCTGAATTTTTTTGTTTGTTTGTTTTTCTCCCATCATTGGACTCTGTCGTCTGCCCCTCTGGCCCCTATCCTTCACTTCTACCAGCTAGAGGACGACCCAACCTGGGTCACATAGGAGGGGGGGGTTGGACCCCCGCCTGCGGTTCCTGCCTGAGATATTTTTATCGCGAGAAGGGTACAGCAATCCCTTCCCTCGCGACTTATGAAGTCGATCAAGTTTGTTTTATTTTGATCGGTTTCCGAGGGCTCTTTTCTCGAACGGTCGGTGCGATACCTGTTCTTTTCTTTCTATCATTTTGTTTTCTTGTTCCGAGTGGTTTGTACCCTATTTTTGTTTTGTTTCCCCGCGGCGTCGTATGTGCCGGGTTTTGAGACCACGGGCTCCCCATTTCTTGTGGACTATAGAGCTAATGCAAGTAACAACAACAACAACAACAACTAGCAACGAGCTTTGCAGCGCATCGCTTCCAACGGAGACCAGGATTAAATTAGCGAGAAAAAAATCACTCTGTCGGAACTCGAACCCATGACCTGGCCCACGAGGCTACCCACTAGACCACCGGGGCGACCGGTGTATTTTTTTTCTTTTTTCTACCATCATTGGACTCTGTCGTCTGCCCTTCTGCCCCCTATCCTCCACTTCTACTAGCTAGACGACCCAACCGGGGTCACAGAGAAGGGGGGGGCTGGACCCCCTCCTGCGGTTCCTGCCTGAGGTATGTTTATCGCGAGAATGGTACAGCAATCCCTTCCCTCGACTTACGAGGTCGATTATGGTTTACTAACAACGAGCTTTGCAGCGCGTCGCTTTCATCCTAGACCAGGATTTATTTAGTGAGAAAAAAACTCACTCTGCCGGGACTCGAACCCATGACCTAGCCCTCAGCAGGCTGCGAGGTTACCCACTGGACCTTTTTTTTTTTTTTACTGGACCTATGTGCCCGCCCGATTCACTGGCTCTATGCCTGGGGCACCCGGCACTAATTAACTTTCAGAAGTTTTTTTCCGAGAATAAGACAAGTCCAAACATACTCTTGTCCCACTATTTCAGCGGCACGAAACCGGCACTATTTGGGGTTCACTGCTGTACCCCCGCTCTACAGCTGCTGTACCCCAACAGTTGTTGTGGCCGACCTGTACGCTTGCTGCTGTGCATGGTACATGAGACAAGACCAGACGCACCGGGCCACGAGCGCACATGCAGGATTTCCAACTCCTGTCCAATGACAACCTACATCGATTCCAAGCGCAATCACCACCTCCTTGTGGTTGTGGACTGCTGTAGACGGCGGAGAGAGTGACAACACAATAAATGCCCTCGTTCGCTGCGAGACTGAAAGCGTGGGTCGGGTGCAAGGCTGCAAGGCGGCCTACTTGGACTAGATTTCCAAAAATTTCAAGTTGGACCACCTTCAGTGATCCAACTACATACTAGACCCCGAGTGGGGGGAGTTTTTTCCGCGCGCACCATCACAACAGCATAACCCGTGCTGCGGAAAGTACCTGCAGTAGGCTGGGGCGTGCGCCCCCCGTGAATATGTGTTGCTTTTGTTTTGGTACACACACCCGAAATGTTGTTGATGCGATGTTGTTGATGCGAATCGTTGTTGTCAGCACTCCGTATGCGTTAATAAATGAAGAAGTGGAAAAAAATGCCCCACCACTCAGAACACAGCAGCAGCAGCAGAATATTTGAACTAGCACGCGAGTTGTCGCCGATCGCGAGCCCCTCCTCACTACGCCCTGTCGTGGTCTCCAAACCACACGCGAACACCCTCTG